CGCCGCCGCTGCAGCAACAGCGGCAGCAGCAGCAGTTGCAGCATCAGCAGATGTAGTGCCGGGTACTGAATGGCTAAGAAGACCGGATAATCCAGTGTTAGGAAACCCAGGAGGGGGAATTGGGAAGCCTGCCGCTGCAGCTGCCGCAGCAGCAGCCGCCGCCGCCATATCGCTGTAGCCCGGAGGTGGCTGTGAGAACTGTTGCCGCGATGCAGCCGCCACAGCAGCAGCTGTTACGTTACCATTCAGAAGGCCAACACCGCTGCTAGGAATGGTAGTGCTAGAACTAGAGCCACTGCTGGAGTTTGCCCCACTCCCAATCACGTTGATGGAGCTAGTTGAGGCAGTGCGCAACTGCTGTTGAAGCCTCGCCGAATCAAGCCTTGACATTAGGCCACCACGTGGGCCCCTAGAGCTAAGGCCAAGGCTAACTTGGGCCCCACCGCCTACTATCGGCTTGAGAGTGGCATTGGCATACTCTTGACGTAAAAGTTTTTGTTTTTCACAGTATTGCAGCCAAGTCTCTTCCGTGAAGCCGTAGTTGAAGTAGTCTGTGATGTCTGCCCCAGGCCACTTCCATGGTTTATCCTCTTCAGGCATACCAGAGAGATTAAACTCAACCGTGGCCATTCCATTTATGTTGCCCGGATCATCAATATCTACTATTTGTTTCGTAGTCTTAGAGTCTAGAAATGGGAAATATTAATAAATTGTAAAGTCGCAACAGTCAGAAGAACCAAACAAGATAATATCAATAGTGAAAATCAGGTTTTTCAGAATTAAAAAAGACAAAATTGACGTATCACCACTTCATCCCTAGGATAGATACAAACTAGGCATTTAAAAAAACATAGCCTTGGCTCGTGTAGTGTGATAGTTACGGTCTGTAATGTCGATGGAAAGAGGATAACAGTGCATTTAACTATTCTTAATGCCTACTTTATTTGGCCCAAGTATATAGTTCTACATAATATGCTTTTTAATCTTTTCCAACGACCACCATATTCTCTAACAATCAGATGGAGTCTTATCCTAGACCCGATACATCTATGAGCACAGCTAGACGCTTTCACAGTGGGTCTAAATGCAATTAGAAATTTCCTAGGCGAATATAGCTAATTATGCATTCTCGTCTACGGAGAAAATCAAATAAACACTATTTTCGTGTGGCTTTACAGTTATTTGGAGTAAATTTGACTAAGAATATTTGACCATTGGAGTTCACCACGCCTTACATTTTGAGAAACAGTTTTCATATGACAGACAACAATTTCGACCTTAGGTCTAATCAGAATCTCAAGCCATAGAAGTGCGCGTTCAGAGGCAGACACATTACTCTCACTAGCCACACAATTATATCTCTGACAAATCGAAAGGTAAGCACACATAATTTAAGATAAGTCTAAGGTAAGATAATGATGTTGCGGTAAAATATAATTATGGCCGATTCCCAGTGCAATGTAGCACTTTTTATAAAAAGGCTGGCAGATTTTCATCTAATTGGGACTTACACATAGTATTAAAATTGGGATAGGAAGATTTATATATTTATATTACTAAAAAAGAATGACATAGAGATATAATCGTTAATTTGAAAGTAGTAGTCTTTGGCACGCAATCGCCTAACTTTGATGAATACAAGCAGATCTTTTATATAAGGCGATGGAAATTATCAAAGCAAAATCCATCATTACTAAAA